GCCCAAATGCTTGTGCATGTATATTTGTGCATGCACACATATGTATTCAAAAAGAAAGAACAGTTGAAGGTGTTAAAAAGAAAAATAATGTAATATATCTTTATAGTACATAAAATGCAGGTGTGTACTCTCATGAAATATAAGTGTACATACTTTTGGGCTATTTTTTGGCTCATTTGTGCACATGACAAACATTTAACATTTAATGAGCCAATGACCTGACCGCACAAAAAAGATATCCACACAACCACATAAAGAGCTCAACACAGGGTCAATTATTGAGGTCTTTTGCCTTCGTGGTACCAAGCACATATAGGACCTAGCAGATTGCAGGATAAATATATGTTTAATAAATGTACATTGATTAAATAGATACTTGCATGAGGATATACGAGTTGCTATTACAGTCCAACAAACTATGTTCATTCCCATAACCCTTTAAACCAATGAGTACTTTTAAAGCCAAACACAGTTTACTTACTGTGGGACACAAAAGTAAAACCAAATCAGGGAGTCTAATAAAAGAGGATATACAGACATAGGTACATTACACAGTAAAACATAGTAAATGTAATGAGACAGGCATATTTTAAATGTATGGGAGTTTGGGTAGTAAAAGATTCTTTTCATGTGAGGGCATGAGAGGTTTTAGTAACACTTGCACCTGACTTTGAACAACAGGTAAAATCTGGATGATAAGCATAGATGGAAGAAACATATTAACAACAGGCAAAAGACTTGTAGAAAACACAGAAGCAGCAAATCTAGAGAAATGAACAGACGTGAAGGGAGAGAGAAGCATCCTTATAACTGTGCAAGAAGCTAGTTTGTCAGTTGTCTCAGATAAACTGCCATGACTGTAAGTGATGGAACGATCCTTCCCATTTACAATGAGAACACTAGGTCACAAAACTCTTACAATGTGGTCCTACCAACAATACCATAGTGAACAAAGCAGAATTTATCTTTGAGTAGAAGAAGACATGATTTAATAGGATTGGGTCTTTGAGAGTCACTGAGAGCATTTTTTTTCCTCAAAATATGGCCTATAGACTGCTTAGAGTGCTGTTGAAATGCAGATTACTGGGCCCTACCAGCAAATCAGAATCTCACAGACGGCACAGAGGGGTAGGCAAACAAGAATTCAGAATTGTTAACAATCTATGTGATTCCTTCTTATACTTATGCTTGAGAGATATTATTAAATACTATAAAAAATAGGCCTACTCACCAAATTACTGATTTTTTTCAGATAAGGACTTAAAGCTATAACATTTTCAAAAATCCTTATTTGTAAAATATAAAGACTCCTAAGAGGTTTTTGAAACAAACTGTATTTAATTTTGCTTTTTAATTTAATAGGCACAATAAACTAATCTTCCAGTTAATCCTTGCCAACAGTTAACTGGGCAAACATAGCCTTACAGGTGGAATTAATCCAGATCTAGATCAAGCACGGA